GAATTCCTAAATATGTGAGCAAATAGAAAAAACATGATAGAAAAAAGGAGCAAGAGATATGTTTAGGCAAATATATTGTAAATGTATAAAAAAGCTGTTCAATTTATGAGATGATACTCAACCTCACATGTTAGAGAAATGCATGTGATTCTCAGTTACAATGGTTAATGATGAGATATTTTCAACTATAAAAACCCACCCTCTTCTTGAGGTTGTTGAGAAAGAAAAACCCTATTGCATTATTGTTGGGAACTGATTGAATACATGTAGAGAACAACTTAGCAATAGCTAAAAAACATATATAAGGTTTAGCTTTTATTCAACAATTCTAGTGTTGGAATTAATCCTAAAGTGTTAACATTAGACATTCAAAGTTATTCAAACCATGTTTTATGAAAATATATATGTACAATTTTATTCCTTGGTGCACATTTTCTAATTGTCAAAATTGCAAATAGTCTCTTAACTGACATGTAAGGGAAGGGTTAAATAATGGGACATCTTCACAGAGAAGGACTATGCAGCTAAACAAAATTTAAAAGAGTTCCATGAACTGATGTGATGTGATTGACAGGATATATTGTTAAATGAATAAACCAAAAGTAAAGAAGGTATTTGTTCTGTAATACATTTCTCCTGTAGTCAGTTGGTCTACAACTGGCTATCACTTTCCATCTTACATTTTTACTTTTCATTCTACTTAAAATATTCTTCCTTCTCTCTACATCAAATCCTTGAACCATGTAAATGTGATTTCAAAAGACTATAATTGTAGTAGGCAATCAAATATTATAACAATGTATACTGAGTTCTCTGGAAGCATGTTCAAAGAAGTAAAGGTTTGTTTGTATGTATATGTTTATGGCTACAGAAATCACTTCTGTAAAACATAATTTGTCAATCCCTTAGGAAATGATGCTCTTGCATCTTAGTTACCTTGAGAATTCTTTGTTCATGTTATTGTCCTGTAAGAAACAAAGGTATAAATACTCCATGAAGTCATAAGATGGGTAATTTTTATATTGCACTGTATGCAGCATTTAACAAGGTTTAAAATACTTCTGGTAAGTGAATTATAGTGAGCTGTAAAAAAGAGGGTAATTTGATAGACTTTCCTAACATATGCAACAAATTAGCCAAAAACAATATCTCTAAGACAACATTTGAAGTAATCATATAATTTAGGGTAGAATGCAGTGCATAGGAAGAAGAGTGGATTACCAGTGCTCCCTGTCCACAAGAATGAGTTATGTATCTAAGTACAGAATGATTGCCTCAATATGTGTATATAATTTATTAAAGAATGTTGTTAAATTATTTATTTTATATTTTTAATTGTAAATGATGGTGAAAGCTTAGAAGTAAAATGCAATAGTAATTCAAAATTCTAAGGCCTTCTAATTGTCATTATTTTGGGGACATTCATAGTAGCTAACAAAGCTGAATATAAGATTTATTGACATATGCACTCATTATTCTATTCTGTGACTTGAGTTTCTTTTTTACCGTGTCTATTGTAGGGATACATGGTATATGTGATTGTTGAGGTAGGACAATCAGTGTTTTGATATGATGAAATTCTATTTCATGATTGTACATTGTATCAATGTTGTCGCTAAATATTCTGTGTAAATGAGAATACTTGGTAATGTTTCACAACCATCTGAATGTGCTGTTCCAAAGAACTCTAGACATAGGGCACTGTTCTTTCCAAGTTGATGATTTTTCAGAGATTACTAAATATGAGAAATCTAATTATTATCTCCAGCAAAAACATGCTGCTTCATCTGCCTAGAATATTGTCTAATCTTTTCAACTCTTTCTAGGAGCCATTTAAAGATCCAAATACTAAAATACATCCCTCTGTAAATTCTTATAGAAGACACTGGAAAGTTTTCTTATTTATCAGTTACCTTTTTGTTCTTTATATTTTTATGTGTTCTGCTTTCTAAAGAATGATATATTGTTTCAAGGTTGGGGTAATTCTGTTAATATTTTTAATGCATAACACATGAACTTCAATAGGTTCATTTAAAAATGGGTTTTATTGCTTACTGTGATGATAAAAATGAGCTTTCCCCTAGAAGTATCAACAATTCTTTTTAAAATAAATATCCAAAAACTTGAATTTTAGTAAGAACTTGTAAAAAATAATATTTATATAACAACTTTCATAAAACAAAATTTTATGAAATTTCTAAGGATAAATTTATGAAATTTTATGAAACTTCTAAGAATAACTTCCCTCAGTTTCACCCCTGTTACAAATGCAAACCTGAATACAATTTTATTCTTTATATTTCATCTCATTTGTCCCATATAATATATGCAGAGCATGAAGACTATGGAACTAAAGAACGTCATGCTAAGTTCTAAATAAACCAGGTTCAAAAAGCCTAAGATAGCCTGTTTAACCACATATGTAGAAGCTACACCTATAAGATAAATGTATATATAGATACATATATGATCATATGTATGTATTCATATACAGACATATATAGTGAGAGAGAGAACAAAATTAGTAAGTAGATAGTAAGTAAGTCCGCTTCAGGGGGGCTACAGGAGATGGGAGAGGGAAAGAAAATGTTAGAGAATGAAAAATATTGAAACAACCCATCTATATATGAATATAATATAATGTTTTATTTTGAAATCTGTTGAATATTAGGGTAGCACAGTGATAGAGAATGAGTAAGCAATGGGAGGGTGGTTATTTGATTAAAGGATTATATAGTCAGGCCTAAAATACTTGGGTGAAATGCCCTTGGACTATTAATATACACTTAGAAAATGAAGAACAGGAGGTAAAATAGGTCTTTTCTGGGAGTGGGTATCAGTTGGAGGAGGGTGAACATAAGGAAAGGGTGAATATGATGGATGTATTTTATACTCATATATGGAAATAGAAGCACGAAACCTGTCAAAATTGTTCTAAGAAGAAGGGGATGAGGAAGGGAGAGAACAATGGAGGGGGTAAATCTGAGATATATTGTAAGATATACTTGTATATTATATGTAAATATAATAGTGTGTCTTCTCTGTACAGCCATTATATGTTAATAAATTTAAAAAAGAATAGTGAGTTCTTGCATACACAACTCTCAATAGATTTACAAATTATTGTTTGCCTCAATAGCAGTACCAATATCCACTGTGAATTTCAAATTTATTACATACTCTCTTCTTTTATCATCAACTAATGCTGACTTAAAATGTACTCATGTTCCTAGTACATACTTTAGTAAATGAGCAAAAAAGTATGTATTAGTAATAGAAACATGTCCTATATTAAAAGTTTTTCCCATATTAGTTCTTATTTACATATTTACTTCCATAGTTTTGATATCATAAGTTTTCCTTGTGTTCATTCCACTTATTAAGAAAAATATACCACTTATCATTAGGCTGTCATAAGCCTTTCTTTCACTTTAATATTTCCCTTCTCATAATATATTCTAATTTTTGTATGTCTGCTTCTATAACTTTTTTGTTTATTATCATGAACAATACTTCACTAGACCCTGTAGGTTTTCAAACCATGATTAGGAGACAAAATATATGTTGCTATCTAAATCAGCATCACTGGACAATTCATAATGAAATTTATTGGGAAGGTATTATCCGGGCTGTCATCACAGATGGGGGTTTGAACATCCTCATAAGAAAACAAAATAAAATAATTACCTTCATATTATTTCACTTAGTATCTGAAAAACAATACTGTTAGCTATTTAAAAACATCCTGGTCTGGGGTCAAGCACTGAAAAAAAAATTTTTTAAATCATTTCTGTGACAAGTATGTTGAGCTCTAATTCATTGTAGAAAATAGTATAGGTAAATAAATTCTGGATGTTGACATAATCTGAGTTTATTTCTATGGATATGTATTTTTTAATGCAAATGTAGATTGTTATACATGTGTAATTTTTTCCTTTATTGTTGTGATGGCTAGGAGTTCACCTGTGGAATTGTCACAGATTCTTACAATATATCAAATATATCATAAATGAATTCACCTCCTCAACCAATCTCCTTCATCTCCCCTTTCCCAGATTCTTGGAGTAGCTTTAACAGGTATCAATTTTGTATTTACTTACATGTGTACACATTTTTTCCATGGTATTCACCCTCCTACCCCTTTTCCCCAATACCTCCTCCTTCGCACTGGTGCAAGCCCTCCCCCTTGAGCAGGGCTTGTTAGGCCCTCCTTTTATCAGATTTTGTAGAAAGAGAAAAGGTAAAATGAAAACATGACATGTTTGCTTGTTTGAGATAAAGATAGCACACAGGAAGTTTCTAGATGATATTTATATGTATATATGTATTATAACCCCAATTGGTTATCTCCTCTAATACAAGTGTAATTTTGATTCAACTTTACAGCATCTCAAATTAATGTGCTACCTTAACATTTGCACATTATGCAGGAATAGCCACTACATTTGTACAATTATGAACTACTTATAGTATTTTAAAGTAAAGAATTAATAGTTTGTAAAGAATTATAGTTTGTAAAGAATTATAGTTTGTAAAAATACAAACTATATTTGTTGAGGAATGACAAGTATCTATAGAACAGGGAGATATTTTGTATTTCTATCTGAAATATCATTTTTCTAAGTGTAGCTTAAGTGATAGGTATTTTTTCATACAGAACTGCATTTTTTTAACTCAGACATGACAGGAGATAAAGGATGGTAAAGGGAACCAACACAAGAGGAACAATGTTTATCTTAGTAGCTTTGATTGCTGACCACCTTGGAAAGTTGTGTTACCTTCCTTCTCAATTTTCTAAGCACATCAGTCTCATAATCACCACATTCACTTGGGGTGCACATTAACACTGATGAAGTGGAGAGCATATTCATTGTGATAAACTCTAGGATGATTTGTGAAAATATCTGTGCAGATATGGAACTTTGTATGATTGAAAAGGAATGAATCTCTTTTCTGACATTAGGTATTAGTTTTTATTTTCTGTAGATTTGAAGAACAAAAGAAAAATGAAGAACCAGTCAATGGAGATAAAATTTATTTTGCTTAGACTCACAGATGATCCTCAGCTACAAATTGTGGTTTTCATGTTTCTGTTTTTCTATTACATCTTGGGCCTGATGGGGAACTTAATTGTCATCCTGCTCACACTGCTGGATCCCCACCTCAAGACTCCAATGTACTACTTCCTTAGAAATTTCTCCTTCTTAGAAATTTTATTCACAACGGCCGGCATCCCACGGTTCTTGATAAGCATTCTCACTGGAGACAAAATAATTTCCTATAATGGTTGTGCAACTCAATTCTTCTTCTTTTTTTTATTAGGAATTACAGAATTTTACCTTCTAGCTGCCATGTCCTATGATCACTATGTTGCCATTTGCAAACCCCTGCATTACCCAATAATCATGAACAACAAAGTGTGTCACCAACTTGTGCTCAGCTCCTGGGTAACTGGATTCTTAACAATCTTTCCCCCTTTGCTGTTGGGACTCAAGCTCAATTTCTGTGCTTCCAGAATGATTGATCACTTCTTATGTGACACATCTGTCCTGCAGCTCTCTTGCACAGATACACATTTCATAGAATTAATGGTTTTTGTTTTAGCTGTGATTACACTTGTCATCACATTGTTGCTAGTGGTTCTGTCCTACATAGTCATCATCAAAATCATTCTCAAATTTCCTTCTGTTCAACAGCAAGCCAAGGCCTTTTCCACCTGTTCCTCAAACATGGCTATTGTCTCTGTTACTTATGGGAGTTGTATCTTTATGTACATGAAGCCATCAGCAAAAGAAAGGGTGACTTTCACTAAAGGTGTAGCTGTGCTCTATACTTCTGTGGCCCCTTTACTAAACCCTTTCATTTATACTCTAAGGAACCAGCAGGTAAAAGAAGCTTTCAAGCATATGCTTCAAATGTTTTGTTCTTTTGAAAACAAGGGAAAATTTAGACATTAATATCATGCTTTTTGAACATGGTGAGAAAATTGAATGGAACTGTCAATTACGTTTGTTTGGATCCATGCCATTTTTCTCTGTTAATATTTATATCATATTACTTTTACTTACATGCTACATACCCTTCTTTCTGTGGAGCTCTTTCTAATCTTTAGGACTAAACTGGCTTCTTCCATCCAGAGAATTAAAGCCTATCTTCACCTAGAAATCTGTTAACTCATAAGTGATCATTTTATGTAGCAAATGCTTTATACAAATGAGCTTTTCTAGACACATTTGGAGGGTTATTTGATGCAAGTGTTCATTGTTAAGCATTACAGTTGCTATTAAGTATTCTGCACTGCTAAAGTTGTCAGAGAAAAACACAGAACATTATAACACAGAACATAATTATTATATAATGTAATTGATATTTTAATGGAAAAAAGAAAATGCAAGTAATTTTAAAGATCAAAATAGTCTTCCAAGAGGAGTATGATGAAATTTGAATGATGAGTAAAGGAAATAAATATTCAAAAGTGTCTATGAGATGTATGACATGTGAAGGAATTGAGATTTTACTGGAAATTTTGTCCTATAGAGTAGAGTTATAATAATTGTGAATAAGTTACTTGTAAACATAGTTAGTAGTTCTTATTAGTTAAAACATTTGAGTTCCAGGCTTTGATTTTGATACCTTACATTGCTTTGTAGTTTTCAATTCCTAGAAGTAATATTAATTCATGAAAAAAAACTCATCCTAGTATTCACTTACATCTTGGCTTGGGAAATTTTCTAAATATTTAATACCATTTGCACATTATAATTTCCTAATCAATTCTTCTTGTGTCACTTTTCACCAAGTTAATTATGTGTATCTTACATGCAAGTGCATGCAACCATTTTAAGCCATTGCATTGGACAGATAAGCACACCTGTGCAACTGTAGAGAACATCATAGTGAATTGCTCCCTTAGCCTCTTTCTTCATTATCCTGATCACTACCCTACTTCTTTTTCATGTCCCCCCAGAAATGCATATTATTTTTACATTAATATACATGTGTACACATTATTTGCACCATATTCATCCTCCTACCCCTTTCCCCACCACCTCCCCCATCCCAACAGTGACAACTCCCACATCAACAGAACCTGTTCTGCCCTCCTTTTCTCTGATTTTGTAGAAGAAAAAAAAACAAAAAAGATAAGATAAACATGGCATTTTTTTACTAGTTTGGGATAAAGATAGCTACACAAGGAGTTTCCTTGTATTGTTTACATGCATATATATATTACAATCCCAATTGGTTCATCTCTACTAGTCCTCTTCACTCCTGCTTAGTCCTTTTCCTTGATACCTGTCAGCTTAAAATTTCTATATTCATTTCTGTACTGTGAGCTTATCAACTACATTCAAGTTTTTTGTTTCCTCCCCTTTTCCTATCTTAGCCTCCTCTTAGTGTGACTCATGTCCCATAATATTGACACATTTGTTTTAAGTCTATAATCCACATGTGAGGGAGAACATGCAGCTTTCGGCCTTCCGAACCTGACTAACTTCATTTAAGATGATGTCCTCCCATTCCATCCATTTACCTGTGAATGACAAAATTTCATTCTTTTTTGTGGCTTAGTAAAATTCCATTATGTATAAATACCACAATTTCTTAATCCATTTATCAGTAATGGGCCATCTTGGCTGTTTCTGTAGCTTAGCTATTGTGAATAGTGCTGCAATAAACATGGGCCTACAGGTGCCTTTGTAGTAACCTGACGCACATTCTTTTGGGAATGTCCCTAGGAGTGGCATTCATAGATCGTTTGGCACTTGTATGTTTAGTTTGTTAAGAAGCTTCCATATTGTTTTCCATAGTGGTTGTACTTCCTCCCAGCAGTGGAAAGTATTGCTTGCATTCCCACCAGGTGTGTATGAGGGCTCCTTTTTCTCTGCATCCTCACCAAGATTTGTTGTTAATGGTGTTCTTGATGGTAGCTATGCTAACAGAAATGAGGTGGAATTTTAGTGTGGTTTTGATTTGTATTTCCTTTATGACCAGAGATGGTGAGAATTTTTTATGTGTTTTTCAGCCATTTGGACTTCTTCCTTTGAAAAAGTTCTATTTAGTTTTTTATTGGTTCATTGATTTTGGGGGAATTAAGTTTTTTTTAGCTCCTAGTATATTCTGGTTATCAGTACCTTGTCTAATGTATAGCTAGCAAAGATATTCTCCCATTCTGTGGTGTCCTCTTCCATTTAGAAACCATTTCTTTCTTTCTTTCTTTCTTTCTTTCTTTCTTTCTTTCTTTCTTTCTTTCTTTCTTTCTTTCTTTCTTTCTTTCTTTCTTCTTTCTTTTCTTCCATTCATATGTATATACAATGTTTGGGTCATTTCTTCCCCCTTTCTCCCACCCTCTTCCTTACCTACCCTACCCCCTCCCTTTCCCCCCTACCCTCTCACTACCAGGCAGAAACTATTTTGCCCTTATCTCTAATTTTGTTGAAGAGAGAGTATAAGCAATAATAGGAAGGACCAAGGGTTTTTGCCAGTTGAGATAAGGATAGCTATACAGGGAGTTTACTCGCATTGCTTTCCTGTACATGTGTGTTACCTTCTAAATTAATTCTTCTTGAACTAACCTTTTCTCTAGTTCCTGGTCCCCTTTTCCTATTGGCCTCTGTCACTTTAAAGTTTCTGCATTAGTTCCTTTGCATTGAGGACATCAAATGCTATCTTGTTTTTTTTGGGGGGTGGGTTTAAGAAGCCTCCATATTGTTTTGCAGAGTGGTTGTACTAGCTTGCAATCCCACCAGCAGTGTACAAGGGTTTCTTTTTCCCCACATCCTTGCCAACACCTGTTGTTAGTGGTTTTTTTTGATGATAGCTAATCTAACAGGGGTAAGGTGGAATCTTAGTATGGTTTTGATTTGCAATTTCCTTTATGGCCAGAGATGGTGAACATTTTTTTCATGTGTTTTTTGGTCATTTGAATTTCTTCTTTTGAAAAAGCTCTGTTTAGTTCAGTTGCCCATTTCTTTATTGATTCATTGATTTGGGGGGAGTTTAGTTTTTTGAGCTCCCTGTATATTCTGGTTATCAGTACTTTGTCTAATATATAGCTGGAAAATATTTTCTCCCTCTCTGTGGGTGGTATCTTCAGTTTAGAGACCATTTCTTTTGTTGTGCAGAAGCTTTTTAATTTCATGTAGTCCCATTTGTCCATCCTTTCTCTTAGTTGCTGAGCCGCTTGAGTTCTACTGAGGAAGTCCTTGCCTATGCCTATTGCTTCCAGCATATCTCCTGCTCTTTCCCTTACTAGCTTCAAGGTTTCAGGTCTGATATTAAGGTCCTTATTTCACTTTTAGTTGATAATTGTACAGGGTGACAAACATGGATCTAGTTTTAGTTTTCTGCAGACAGATAACCATGTTTCCCAGCACCATTTATTGAAGTGGCTCTCTTATCTCCATCATGTTTTTGACAGTTTTGTCAAAAATTAGCTGGGCATAGATGCATAGATTTATGTCTGGGTCCTCTATTCTGTTCCACTGTTCTTCATATCTGTTTTTGAGCAATTAACATGCTGTTTTTATTGCAATGCTCTCCAGTATAGTATGAAGTCAGGTATTATCATATCTCCAGCATTGCTCTTTTTGCACAGTATTGTCTTGGCTATTTGCAGTCTTTTGTGTTTCCAAATGAACTTTAGGGTTGATTTTTCAATCTCTGTGATGAATATCATTGGGATTTTGATGGAAATTGCATTGAACATGTAGATTGTTTTTGGAGCATAGCCATTTTTACTATATTGATTCTGTTAATCCATGAGCATGGGAGATCTTTCCATCTTCTGTAGTCTTCCTAATGTCTTTCTTCAGTGTTTTGTAGTTCTCTTTGTAGAGATCATTTACATCCTTTGTTATGTTTATTCCTAGGTATTAGGGTTTTTTTTGAGGCTATTGTAAATGGAAATGTTTTCCTATATTCTTTCTCAGTCTGTATATTGGTGGTGTGCAGAAATGCTACTGATATTTGACAATTGATTTTGCGTTCAGCTGCATCTAAAGTTGTTTATAGTGTCTAGGAGTTTTTGGGTGTAGTTTTTTTGGTCTTTTAGGTATATAACATGTCATCTGCAAATAAGGATAGTTTGACTTCTTCTTTATCTATTTGTATTCCTTTTATTTCTTCCTACTGTCTTATTGCTGTGGGTAGGAATTCCAAGACTACATTCAATAGGAGTGAAAAGAGTGGACACCTTTGTCTCATTCCTGACCTTAGCAGAAATGGTTTCAGTTTTTCCCAATTAAGTATAATGTTGGCTCTAAGTTTGTCATAATTTGTCTTTATTATGTTGAAGTTTATTCCTTCTATTCCTAGATTTACCAGAGCTTTTTTCGTGAAAGGGTGTTGAATTTTATCAAAGGCTTTTTGTGCATCTATTGAGATGATCAAGTGGTTTTTGTCTTTGCTTCTAGTAATATGCTGTATTACAATTAATGATTTACATATGTTGAACCATCCCTGGATCCCTAGGATGAAGTTGACTAGGTCATGGTGTATGATTTTGTGATATCCTGATGAATTCAGTTTGCCATTTTTTAAATTGAGGGTGTTTGCATCCATTTTCATTACAGAGATGGGCCTGTAATTCTCTTTTTTTTGTTGTGTCCTTTTCTAGTGTTAGAATGACTGTAATACTGGCTTCATAGAAAGAGTTTGGCAGTGTTCCTTCCTTTTCTGTTTTTTGGAAAAGTTAAAGGAGTGTTGGTATTACTTCTTAAAAGGTCTGGTAGAATTCAGTGGAGAATCAGTCAGGTCCTGGATTTTTCTTTTTTTGGAGACTCTTTATTGCTGCTTCAGTTTCATTGCATGTTATAGATCTGTTTAGGATCGGTTTTGGATGGTCATAAGTTTCTAGAAATTTGTCCATTTCTTCAAGATTTTCCAATTTATTGGCATATAGGTTCTCAAAGTAGTCTCTGATGATTCCCTGGATTTCCTTGGTGGTTGTTGTTAT